CCAGTAGTACTGCAAATAAGAGCAAAAGGGTTCCTCTGGGTATTGGGTTAAAACTAAAACCCAGATATTTCATACATCAATCATGGCATATCTAAACGCGTCCTTCATGGACCCAAGAATCTCCTTTCTCCAATGATTTTGCCGACAGTAGTCTACAATCTGCTACTGCCAAGTTTGATGAAATCAGCAAGTACAAGGAGGCTCCAGTGTCGTCTGATTTCGAGTTCTCGGTGAAGAACTATGCCATGATTCCGGCTGATGAGATTTTCTGTGATGGCATGTTGTTGCCTTTGAAGAATGATAATTGCAGCTGCAGCAACCGGGTGAGGAAGATGACTTTACATGAAGAATTACTCGTTGATGATGATGGTGATGGTGATGAGTTTGATGGCCGATCAACAAGGATGCCAAAGAGTTCCGGGTGGTGGAGGAAGAGGTTCGGGATGAAGAAGAATCAGAACTTGTCTAGAAAAGTTGATGGAAATGGAATTTTGGAGAAGGTGAAGGGAGAGAAGATTCATGTTTTTGTTCACGAGCAAGACCTTCTCAGCCAGAAAACACAGGTGAGATGAACATCAGTATATGGTTTCTATCTTTTTATTTTTTCTTTGCAGATTGAAGTTTTGTTAGTTTGGTTATTTTCAATTCGAATCATTTGTATATTTTGTCGTTTTATATAAAATTATTAAATTTTAATACCTTTTTTTAAAAAAAAATTTAATTTGTTCAATTTTTATTTTTGTGTTTTCATAGTTAGAAATACAAATACAAATACATACAAAAATAAACATTTCATATATAAAAACTCAAATCATGAGGATTAAATTGTCATTAAACCCACAAAATTTAGTTTGTAACAAAATCAAATCACAAGAGAAAAATGTAACTTTTCCATATTCCTTAATATAAAATTAACACCGACTTTTTAAAACAAATGATTTTACAATAAATGCAAAATTCATTACCAAACTCATATTTTTACTACTAAAATTTGAATTCATATACGAATTAATTTGCAAATGCATTTTATATTTCCATTTTTCAAAAAAAACAAAAACACCCTAACTCTGAATTTACTCCCTTCATTTGCAGAACTGTCTGTCACAGATACTGGAGTGTGATGACTAAAGACCAAAAGCAGAAGAGGGTTTTTAGAAGCAGCAATTGATTGATCATAGTTTTTGCTAGGGAAGCGAATTTATTTTCTGAAGCTTCTTTGGGCTGCAAAAATTTCCTTCACTTCACCAATTAACATTCTCCACCGGAGTAGAATTAGATTTGACTGTTTCCTCGTGTACAAATGTTTTCACTTCAAAGAATTTGCAGCTCATGAGTCTCTGTAATGTAATCTAGTTTCTTTCTACTAATTTCTACTTTTCATTGAAGATTGATTTTGTTAGGGCCATTGACATCTTATCTACAGTCTGTTTGACGACGTTTTTAGCTGCGGCTTTTACATTTTAAGCATATGTTCGGACTTACTGTGAGTTTTAAAAATGTTGTTAAAGATAGTCACTAACTAGAAGTGTTTTCTACTTAGAAGGAGAGTTTACAGTAGATCTAGATTCACACTCATTAAGCTTGCAAAACTTTAAGACAAAAAAGATAAATATAGTAAGATAAAGATTTAAACAGAGGAAAGAAATATATAAACTAGATGCTAAATTAGCAGCAAACTTTGAGTTCCTTGTGATTCTTTGTGACTACTGCAAAGGAAAAATGTAAGATCACTCTCAACTTACATCAACAATCAGTCCTTTATTGCCATTATCCACAGCAAAGCACACTTATAATTTCATTATTTTTTCAGAACCCCACTCTTTTGTGCTTTGATTTCCATATCTCCATTATTTAACCTAATCAAATTCTCTACAATTTTCTAATCTTGGCTATGGCTGCAACTCAACAGCAAAACTGGCAACCAAAACATTTCCATTATGATCGGAAAACTTCAACAAAAAGGAAGCAAAATTTGATCAGTTTCACAATTGACTACTTACGAGGATGATGTCGTACCACCCAAAAATAGTTAGCAATAAATATTTAGACGCATAACCAGCAGCAATAACCTACGGTATTTTGAAAGCACAATACCTCCAAAGTTAAATTTTCAGCATTTCATAATAATTCAGTTAATTATTGTAGTAATTAGTTGAATGATTATGAAATGTTAGCTTGCAGCATTGTGTCTCAGACACTGTAGTAGAATTTATAACTGCAACCCACTTGTCAACATCTCTTTTCCTCAAGGAAAAGGAAAGAAGTTATAGATGGCTTATTTGCTAGATTTCGAAGCATGAACTCCAAGTCAAAAATTTAATTGCAATGAAGTAACAAGATTGAGCGATCAAGATAAGTCCCATAATCATAATTGAGCAAGATATACTAGCCGTACAGCTTGGTGAACAATCCGTACTCAAACACAAGAATAGACAACGATAACAGTATATCTGATAAGGCACAAAGGCAATTTATTTACAAACTGAAAGTCAAAAAATAAAATTGTCAACCATTTCATCAAGTTAGAAAATAAAATTTTCACTGCATCTAACGCTTAAGTGTGCTATATGGTTTCTTTCTATAACAACCAATGAAGAATCTAGAGGATTATTGCTGACCGAGTAACAATCTAATGGACTATGTACAATAAATAGGACAAATTTACAATGTCAAAGAATCTATAAAAGAATCAAACTTTGCAGCTCACCATGCCAACAGACGACTATAATTACATGGTTTTCTATGTCTAAAAACTTCCAAGCACCATATATTTACACATGTACAAAATTACCTTCCTGCCTTGCTTTGATTTGAATGAAATGTTTGATTACTCCTCAAGCCATAAGCCTGTTACCGAAAAAAAAAAGAACTAGGGCATGTTAGAAAAACAAAGATGATGCAAATATATTTGAACATAACCGTCAATACCTCAATGGGCCTAAGTCACAAGTTCTTTTCTTTTTCTGGACAAGGGTTCTAAACCATATGGTTTAATGACAAATCCATTTTTATCATGGTTACCAGGGATTGATATATAAAATGGCTGAATAGTGCAATGTGGAAAATCACTAATGACAAATTAATAATTAAAAGTATTGCTTGCTTTTTTGCCAGAAAAGCTTATAAAGCCTGAACTTTTAAAAGGAATCTATATCAGGGAATATAAATTCTAGAGACGTGGAGCTTACCTTAATGCAGGAAATTTATTTTGGATACAAAGAGACATCTAAAAAATAATCCCTTTGTCGCAAAATCTCAGATCATTCTCTTTGTTGCTGCGGAAAGCAGTTCTTAAATAAGTCAACTGTGACGTTGTCTTCTGTGAACAAGAATAGAAAAACTGGGAAGCTGTCACAATCTAACTCAGTAAGTGGATAAGGAAATAATGGTAATGTAAACGAATGGTACCATAAGCACTGTCGTTTAGCTCTGATTTCGTGCCTGATTGGGACCCAAATATTTTTCCATTGATTCTTTCTTACGTTCAGGATCGAGGCTGCAAGCATAAATTGTCACAGTTAACTACCTTAGTTCTATTTATCTTGCTTCTGAGATAATAATAATTTTTTTTGAGGAAGTCAAGATATTGATAAATGAGTACGATGTTGACTTAAACCATCAGATTACCTATTTCTGAAGCCAAGAAAAGCACAATGTACAGCACTAGCACAAGCAGAAGCAGGAAGAATGGCAGCTGTTGGAACTGCCTGAACAGCAGTTGCCAAAGCAGACCCAGCACTGGCTCCACGCTGGTACCTCTTCAAGGGAGTTTGGACTAAAGCGGAAGCTGATTTTCCCAGGCCATTGCTTATCCTCTCATAGGCCTGACAGATTTTAAGGACATCAACATCAATTTTGGAAAAAAATTTCCTTGAGTATATTTTCTAGCTAACAAAATTGACCATCATTGCAGACTCAGATCCCAAGCATGATAGAAAGTTTTAGACTGAAAAAGAATGCCAAGAAGAATTAAGAAGATATTCAAAGAGAAGAAGTGAGCATGAAGCCGTATGGCTAAAGAGTACAAACTTCTTATGATCATAGATAATTGAGTGTAGGGATGACTCTTGTGTAGTTTAGAACAACTGACCATTCTTAATATTCCTGGCAAAGAAATATGCAGGTATGCATGTCTTTCTCCCCAAAAATGAAGCAGTTACCAAATAATGAGAAGGGTATGTTATTCAATCACATAAACACATATGTGAGGTATGTTAGGATACTCACCTGTCGAATACCTTCTTGGGCATCTCTTGGCTGATTATATCTTACATTTGCCTTCGTTGTTGCAGAAGGCAATGATAGAGATGGTGGAATACTTGTAACAACATATTCTGCCTTGAGCAATAGGTCATGAAACCCTGCTGCCAAGTGGACCCCAAGCCCAACAGCTTCAAGAGATATACTCCTAAGAAATGCAATAGTACCTGGGAAGAAAGTAATCCACCGTTATCACAAAAATCAATATATCAAATATTAATACCAGAAACAGAGGCTAAAACTAGCCACAATAATGTGCATTAGAAACATGACTCATCAAACCAAATATGGTGAGATCCTCATATACATAATGACTTCACAAATAGCTTTATTACATTTAAGCAGCAACAAAGTAAATAGAATTGTTGACGCAAATTTGCCACTTACTGAAACAAACACCAAATATTCCCAAGCAGATACTCTAAAACCAGCCTAGTGAACATAGCTCATCAAGCTAAATGTGGTCAGATCCTTCTATTCACAATGATTTCATAAATATACTGTATTCGATTTAAGTTGTAACGAAGTAAAGAGAAAATAATGTATATAATGGCATATTCATAGGTTCACCATGTGATGCGTAGACCAAAATATCGGTCATTATGCATAAAAAGTTATGTATTCAAATAAATAAAAATTTCTGGCTCGCATTTTACCTCTTTGCAACCCCTTTAGTACCCTCTGATCCTTCCTGTAGCTTGCAACTGGCAAAGAAACCAGCTTTGCAGCACCATCACCAACAGCAAAAAGTGATCGAATGGTAGGGATTCCTCGTACAATCTTATGAATCTATATTATAATACAGGTTAAAAGACAAACTAATAATCATGAAGAATATTTGTCAGGCCAAAAGATCCTCAAGAGGTAATAATAAATGCCACCAAAAACCTGATTTTGTGAGATGTCTTCCAGCCATTCCCCTACTATTGTTTCACATACATTGCCCCAGCCATAAATGCCAGCAGCATGAACATGTTTGAGTTGGAGTTCAATCCCCTGTGCAAAGGTTTATTTTAGATAAAAAAACTTGTTTTGACAATTCACAAAATGCACACGCCGGGAACAATCTTGTATATTACCTTCCAAGGGACAAGGTTTACTAATTCTACATATTTGCCAGCACCTAATGCCGCTAGATCAACACGGTGGGGGCTGTAATCAACCCGAACAAGAAAAGGCCAAATATCAAATTTCTGAAACAAAATTTCACTTGATCAGTAATCTTATAACCAGAGTCCAATCCCAATGCAAACAAAAACTGAAATCCTAAGTCCTATTTTCTCTATCGCCATAAATGCACAGTTTAATTGAGCATACGATCCTTTATAATATGAGAAAGTTCATCCTCAAGAGGGTACCATTCTATTTTTTGTGTGATTTACTAAATCGTTTAGGGCATAATTACAAGGTATATAAAAATCTGTACTCGTTGGGTAAGTGATAAACAATCCAGGACAACTAAAATGGAAAGACAACTGACAAAAGTAGGATAGAAGAGCATCACCGAGCAAGATCACGTCATGATTTGTTGTTGAATATTAAAATGAACCATGCAAACTATTCATAAGAAAGCCATTTGACTTAAAAATAACATAACACAAAGCAAAGACGAAAAGACAATAGCAGCTTGCCATCTTTTCTATAACAGGGAATAACATAATCTTTATTCAGATAATTTTACTAAATGGTCTCCAGTTCCCAGATGCTCATCTGAGCAAACATGTACATGTGATAAAAAGACTATGCACATAAAACTCGAGATATAAGAAATCCAAAAGCACTTAGGAAAGATTTTACTCCTTAAGCAACATCAAGTTATCCTACTTGCCTGAAAATAAGGGAGCAATGCCTCCTCTATGACATGATGCCCGGCAGGATCAACTCTCTCTGTCAACACTAATTTTGAAGCACCTGAATCTTGAGCACAACCAGAAGATTGATCAACTGCTAAGCTCTTTGGCCCAAAAAAGCTTATGAGAAAATCAAGCTGGCTTTGATGAAGATGCAATAGCATAGGAAGGAATGCAATGCGTAACCTGAAGAAACAAAAGAGATTCAGCATATCCTCATATAGTAAATGATTAAAATTTTATGATATTTCTTTAAAACAGGCTAGAGTCACAAATAACCTCAATGGAAAAGAAAACAAAAGGAACAGAAAGGAAACAAAATACATGGTCAAGACAATTAAACTATGAAGGGAATAGATAAACTTTCCTAAGCTATTAAACGGGAACCATTTGCATCTGCCCCGCGAACAGATACTTTGGAACAGAATGATTCCCATTTATTGGTTCACAATGAGAAGAATTCATCTTTTCTTCGGAACAACAAGTACTGATGTTCCATCTAATTTTATTTATCAGCTACCAATCATAACCATGCAAATTAGCTTCTCCAAAGTGCAATCATCATCTTACTAGAAAACCACGTTATTAAAAATAATATCCACTCGTGAAAAAAGTTGAAACCAAATAAACTTGACTAATTAACAGCCAGAAGTATTCAAACTTCATCAGGAGGGGAAGCATTCACAAAGTGAATGCTTATTACATTATACATACCGATACTCCTCAAGCGGGATTAGTGGATCTGGTCTGACAGCATCTATATCCAGCTTGAATGCTTTTGAAAAGGATTCCCTAGGATGATCTTTCGAATTATAATAACCCAATACCTTCCAAGACAAAGAAAACAATTCTAAATCTCATGCAATACAAAAAAGGTAAATACCTAATTTCTTGATAAAAATGCCAAATTCAAACATTACCAGTTGCCAGGGTGCAGCCTTGCTCCTATCATAAAGATGAAAATCCTGGATTGAAAGAGAAAGCTTTGATGAACATATTCCACCAACAGGGAAAAGGTCATATTGGCATTGCAACCCAGACAGTTCAAGCTCAAGGCATACAGTTGTATCCCTTCCATGGATATCTGTAGAGCTTTCATTATCCTTCTGCGAGTCATGCCAATCAGAGCCAGCATACATTCTCCATATAACATTGACATTCTTAACAAGTACTCGTCCCAGAGCATTTCCAAAATCATCAGGTCTTGCACCCTCAACAGATGAAGTCATGCACTCTTTAACTTTTGTCATGCAATTTAGGTCACTTGTTTTTGAAATATGGTTTTCTACAATTCTAAAAGAGGCATCCCCATACCATCCAGTAGTTCTTCTCTCAAGGTCTCCATCCCCAAGATTCCGATGTCTTCTTGACAGTTCCCTGCCTGCAGATAATTCTGATAGAGGACGTAACTCAGATAAACAATAACTTTCTATCAGTTCAGGCGAACAATCATTTTCTAGGAATGATGTTTGACTACTTTCCACTCCTATGGCAAGTGCAGATCCATTCACTGATAGATTGTGCGAGAAAATCTCAGAAGTATCAAAACTTAGGTTACATGCCTCCCCAAGAAAGATTCCATCTTGTGATGCATGCAATTTTGAGTCTGAGGAATCAAATTGACATGTCTGAGTCCCATCTAAATTGAATGCATCTTCACTTATCTCATCCATGAGTCCAATTACTCCAGATTCCCTCTTAGCATCTATACTTGTATTCAGCATTTGAGAAGCTAAATCATCATTAAAATTCCCAGCCTTATCATTGGAATCATTCCTCTCCTTTGCCTGCTGAACATTATTCCATCGCGTCTGCAAGTGTACAATTGTTTCCTCCACATTAGGAGCATATAACTTTTGGAGTTGAGCACCCAAGCGAATCAGACCAGAGGTGGTGTCATTGCATGTTTCAACATAAATGTGAGATTTGGAACATTCAACCTTCCAAAGAATGCCATTCTCACAATTTGTTCTTAAAGTTGCTTCCACAAGGGCCTCCCTAGCAACTTTAACATAACCATACTCACAAAGATACTCTACACTGTAAGTACCACCAAGTCTCTCAGGATCTGTCACTGTACAAAGAAGAAGACCCAGATCTTGCACTTTAATTTTGTAATCACCATTTACACAATCTGCTGCAACTACATTGGAAACAGTCAAGGAA